TAAAGCACATAATTTGACAGTATTCAAACTATGAATTGGAATCTAATCTATTCCTTTCTTGTCCTATTTTCCCCAATATCATATTGCTTCTGATTACATGACAAGGTCATTAAAGTTAAGTCTTTCATATTTTTAACTTGTAGATCAGTGTCCAACTAGAAGTATTTTTTTTAAATTTTAGCTGTAGATGGACACAATGCCTTTATTTATTTATTTATTTGTTTTTAAAGAGAGAGATTTTTTTTAATATTTATTTTTTTAATTTTCAGTGGTCACAACATTTTTATTTTATTTTTATATGGTGCTGAGGATCAAACCCAGCGCCTCACATGTGTGAGGCAAGCAGCGCTCTACCACTGAGCCACAATCCCAGACCAGAAGTATTTTTATTCCAGCAATATCAAAATAAGGGAATCCTTCAAGGTTAATTTAATAAATAGAATCTCAAACTGATACCTCAAGATTTCTTCAAGCTGTATAGAAACTTAGCTTATGAGTCAAGTGTGTTTCTAACATTACCTAAAGTTTGAATTGCATCAATCTTTTCTTTGCCTTTCTGTCCTTTGTCGTTGTTGTCCTGGGAAATGCACGCAGGGCCTTGGGCATGCTAGGCACACGCTTTACCACTAACCTACACCCTCAGCCCCAAACTGCATAAATATTTTCTAATAAAATTAGAATTTTACTTGGATAATACTCAGGTTCAAAAAGGAGAGATGAACTCTTTAATGCATAAACATATAAAAATAAGTATATTTGTCAAGATTCTGAAAGGTAGTAACTTATCTGCAAGTTARCTGAGATATAAAATGGAGTTTATAGGGAAGATTCTTGATTATCTCATCAAGTAAAGTTTAAAAATAAAAAGGCAGTAATGGAATTCTAGAACAAGAGGAGTTAGTGGTAAGAACCCTTCCACATGCTTCTCCCCATAGTTTGCTATTTTCTGTATAGTAACTTCGTTTTTCCTAACCTCTTCCTTCATGTGTCAGGAAACATTACTGCAGATGTTTTCTTAATTTAACATCTTTGGTTGCTACCATTGCTTACAGTTTGAACATGTCTGATTGGCTTACATCGGGTTTTACTGTCATATCTTGGAGTAATCACTCCATCTATCAACAGAACTGAGAATGATGGAGTTCTATCAACAATAATTACAACAATTGCAATAATAATAATAATATCCTATCATATTGATTAAAATTTTGTGGCCAATTAATGGGAAATTTAATTCAACTTGGCTTAAATGTGAAAGAGTGATTTACTGGCTTTCATTCCTGGAAAACCTCAAAGCTGAGTCCATTGTAGTCTGCTCAATCTACTGTTAAGTTGTGGCATCAAATATTCTAATGCTTCTGTTTTCACACTGTGCTGCTCCAGTGTGAGTCTYCCCTTAACACTGGCTCCTCTATGGCTGTAGTGTAGATGTCCTCACAGTAGRGATGTGTCCTTATCCACAACCAGGAAGAAAAATGACATGAATCCAGAGGTATGCTGAAGTTAAGTGGTACCTGTACGATCTCCCAAGCGTCAATATTCTGTATTTAATTATCTCATGTTGATAGCTTGAAATTGGCTGTGATGGGAGTATTTTTACCATAGAAACTGGCAAATGCTATAATTCAGGAATTATTTTTCTGTGTCAGAGTTATTTCTTATATTTACCAATGTACTGCTTCCTTCTTTTCAGATTCCAAAAAAGGCTCTTGAGATTGATGCATATTGGGTTGGCTTAGGTCACATGACCACCCTTGGGCCAAGGTCTATGGCCAGGGGACCTGAAATTATAAAGTAAATATGTWTCATAATTTCCCCAATTTATATAACAAAGGTTTTCACTAAATAGGCAGTCAGATTTCATAGTCCATTATGATATGTGCTCATATAGAAWATATTGATGTAGTTTGGGTCATTTTCAATGGGGAATTTGTAAATAAATGAAGTTTTCATATGGGTAAGGAGGTATTAAATATATGTTTCAATTAGCAACGGCATGAATTAAAAGAATTGTTACAGGCTGGGAGCAGTGGCGCACGCCTGAAATCCCAGCGGCTTGGGAGGCTGAGGCAGGAGGATCACAAGTTCAAAGCTAGCCTCAGCAAAAGTGAGGCGCTAAGCAACTCACTGAGACCCTGTCTCCAAATAAAATACAAAAAACAGGACTGGGGATGTGGTTCAGAAGTTGAGTGTCCCTGAGTGCAATTCCTGGTACCTCCCCACTATCAAAAAAAAATTGTTACTGTTTGTCAATGATAATGCAAAAAGTATTCTACATYATTGGTCATTAGTCATCAGAACAATGTAAACTAGACATTATGGTGAGGCACCATTTCACATACCCCAGACTATATCAAAAAGGAAAAACTATATCAAATTCAGGCAGAGCAATGAGAAGTCTCTTGCTTTCCTTTAAGAATGTACACTCACATAAYCACTTTGAATAACCAGTTGACAGTTTCCTATAAAATTAAATACATGCCTAATTTATGATCTAGGAATTTCACTCCTAGACAATAACCCAGGAGAAATATGTTGATATCAAGAATAATTAATAATTAAGAAATGGATAAAGGATCTGAATAGACATTTCTTCAGTGAAGATACACAAATGGACAATAAGCATATGAAAAGATGCTTGGTATCATTAGTCACAGAAAAATTCAAATGAAAGCCACCATCAGCTACTACTTCATGCCCATTAGGATGGCGATAATAAAAGTCAACAATAATAAGTGTTGGCAAGAATGTGGATAAAATGGAATCCTTGTGCATTGTGGGTGTGGTTATAAAAATGATATAGCCACTCAGGAAAACAGAATGGCAGGACCTCAAAATATTAAACACAGAGTTTTCTTCTGATCCAGGAATTCTTCTCCTAGTTATATACTGAGGAGAATTGAAGACTTATTGGTGCTCATCAAATGATAAAWAAATTTTTAAACTGTGGCATAGCCATACGAGGAAATATTATTCAGCCATGGAAAGGAATGAAGTTCTGATATATGCTATACCATGGATGAACCTCAGAAGCATTATGTTAAGTAAAAGAACCAATCTCCAAAGGTCACATTATATGATTCTGTTTATGTGAAATGTCCAGAATAGACAAATCTAGAGACATAGAAATAGATTAATAGTTGCCCAGAGAAAGTGGAGAAGATGGGTGGGGACTGCCAGTGGTGCAGGTTTGCAAATGAATGGTGACAATGTGGAACTGGGAAGATGGTCAAAWACCCAAAGTGCTGTGGGAGTGAGAATTGGTGACACCTTTTCAAAGGACCAACTGATAAACCTGGAGAAGAATCTTACCTTAGTCCCATTAAGTCAAGCTCCAAGYATTTAGTGTAATGAAACAATAAGAAGCTTCCTCAAATATTTTTGTATAAGAATGTTTGTATTGACAATAATTTTAGTCATGAAAATGGGGAGAAGATAGGATTTATCGACAATAGAGTGAATGTAGAATGGCACATCTACATGTTGGAATTTGATGTGTGCATTAATAAAATGTTTTCCAGGACTACCTAATCATAGAGAGTATGTGATGCTATGTTATTATTGTTAATAAAAACTAGGTTATGAAAGATTGTGCTCTCTAAGATTCCAACTAATGTTTTAATAGTATACAATCACCTGTAAAAAGGAGTATAGTAGTAGGACACATCTTCTTAATTTCTCGTGTGTGCTATTTAATATTTTCTTAGAAAAATATAGAGAATATGTTTGTTTTATGATTTGTTTTTTGAAAACAAGACAATGATAAGTGTTCTTACAAACATGAAAGCCTTAAGCTAATATGGTTGCTTTGAATGTTGAAGGTGGCTGTTCAATAAATATTAAGAAATTTCTAACCATCTCTCTGTGGTGTGGGAGTCTCTTATCTCCACACAAGCTTTGGGCCAAGTTCTCCACAGTAGCGCTATAGACATTTGGGGCAGGTAGTTTTTGTTGTAGCAGGAAGGCTGGGTGTGGAATGGTCCCGTGCTTTGCAGCATATCTAGCAACGTCCCTGTCTTCTACCCCACCCTCTAGTGTGGCAGCAAAAACATCTTTAGTTATAACAAGTATCCCCTGGGAGACAGAAGTGTCCCCAGCTTGAATCACAGAATTGAAGGAGCCATTTCATAAAGGAAGAAAATCCAGAATTGTTTCAGGGAATTCATCCATTGCACCGTTCTGTCTGGTTGTGCCTGCCTCTCTGTTTAGTATACAGGGTAAATATCATTTCCTCAGGAAACAAAGTTCAACATTGACATACCAAAATGTCTCTTGGTTCTCATGTTAATTTCCTATCCGTTGCATGAATTATCACAGTGTTCTTTTTTTTCTAGGGGGTGGGTACCAGGGATTGAATTCAGGAGCACTCGACCACTGAGCCACATCCCCAGCCCTATTTTGTATTTTATTTAGAGACAGCGTCTCACTGATGTGCTTAGTGCCTCACCATTGTTGAGGCTGATTTTGAACTTGTGATCCTCCTGCCTCAGCCTCCCAAACTGCTAGGATTATAGACATGCAGCATTCGCCCAGCAAGGTTTCATTTTGATGTTTACAGCATTGATTGTGTGGTTTCTGCTCTTTTTTTTTTTCAAGTGCTTGCTTATTTATTGTAAATCTTGTTTTTATAAATTTAACATAAACCACTATTCAAGGTAACACCTGGAAATAGATATTTTATTCATTGTTTAGTATATGTTCTTAATAAAAATTCTAAGGAGTAGAATTACTAGACCAAATTATTTCATTTTGATGATTTTTTTTAAGACACGGATCTCACTATATTGCCCTGGCAGACCTCCAACTCCTGGGATTTTTTTTTAAATTTGTTCTAATTAGTTAAACATGACATTAAAATGCATTTGGATACATTATACACAAATGGAGCACATCTTCTCATTGCTCTGGCTGTACATGTTGCAGAGTCATGCTGGTTGTGAGTCGTGTCATCATACATGTACATTCTGATCTTCATGCTGGTTGTTCCTTGCTCTGCACAGCTCGCTCAGCCATCACCGGGAGCTGTGAGAATGATGGCCTGCACATTGTCAGAGGTCGAAGTCTCTCCTCCACACCTGTTGCCACCGTGTGTGGTGATGAGACCTTGGATCCTATCACCCTGACTGGTCCCGTGCTGCTGAACTTCTACTCCAACGCACACACCCCGGACCTGGGATTCAAGCTTTCCTACAGGAAACTCTGTGAGTAACCACAGTGATGTAGTTTGAAATTTTCTGTTTTTCTTGAGTAATTTACACATCACCAACTCGAAGATTCAGAGACATGAAGGGAAAAACTCACAAATGAGGCATGTGGGAGAAAGTACTTAGACTGTCTTTTTCTTAAAAAAAGAGACCTTTTGTGAACTTTGGCTAGACCTCCTCTTTGAAAATCAGATGCATAATTGGAATCTACTTTGTAATGTAAGTTAAAATGAATGTTCTTGCTGTTTTTTTTTTTTTTGTATATTACATAAAGATGCCTCTTGGCCTGAATTATCCTGAATTATTCAGACGCCTAATTTATTCCTCAAGTCGMTTTGTTACAATGAAAAATAATATAAATCTAGAGGAAATATAAGAGAATATCTTTATGATCTTCTGATAGGAAGAAAAGAATATTTAAACAATATGCAAAATGCACAAGCCCTATGGGACAAGCWTGATATACTCAACTCTGTTAAAATTTGTCTGTAACAAAGGCAAAGTGAAAAAGGACACAGACTGGGTAATGAATGCCTTTGTAACTACYAAGAAAATGATAGTATTTTTCTGTTTCAAATGGTCTTTTCCCCTCCTTCTGGGCGAGTCTACTGACTCCATTTTTCTCATAGCACCTCTACTTCAGTGAAATGGGCACATAAAACTCATAAAACCTTTCCTGGCTTTGTTCTGTCTTTGCCTGATCCAATCTATTGCTAAAGGTAGAAAGTTAAATATTGCTTCCCTTCAAATCAATTTCTGTCCCATCCACAGAGAAGACTAAACGTGTCTAATTACCATGAAAAAGGCCTGCATTTTTCTTTGACACTAGTTTCTATCTGAATCCTGAGCCCCAACATTTGTAAAGTAGATTCTGCGTGGCTTTGGAGGTCTGTTGGCACCCACCAAACAGAACTGGGCAGTTAATATTTCTTCCCTTACTGTCTTGGTGCATAAAGAGAAGGATTCTTTTGGTACAACCTCTGCTTTGGAGAGTTAAACCTYTTGCTTCATATTCTTCAGCTCTTTAATCCCTCATTTTTCATGAAGCATGGTAGGCACGTTTCAATATATCTAGTCTATAAGGCTCACTCTGAGAGCGTTGCTGATACTGACTTCAAATCTCAACAGTGTATGAAAATGGAAGGGATTTAAGTTTTGGTAAACTTTCCAAGACCACATAACCAAATGAAATAGAGGAATTGCTACCCAGATCTGACATTTAATTCTCTGCAGATGTACCCAGAGGTCCGAGCACCAGAAAACTTTGAGGCATACAGAGAAGAGCTTTCCCTGAAAGYGGGCTCAGTCAAGGCAAAAACAATAAATATATAAAAACTTCAAATGCCAGCCTAAGGTTGTTTCTCATTTCTAAGAGAAATAGGTGGAGCACGCCCATTGATAGTGTATGCTCCATGGAAACATCATCAAAATGCACTAATCTCATTATYATTTTGAATCATGAAGTAAATAACCAAAGCCTTTCTCACTGTGATGAGAGGGTAGCATTTGCCATCATTAGCTGGCACTGTCTGATCCCTCTTATGTGAAAGCCAAAGCAAAAATAATGTGTTTTTTAAAGGAGTTTTGTTATATTCCTAGGGCTGTTGTTTTATTGTTTTGTGGGTGTAACTAAGGGATTTGGGCTATGAATTGCTGGGGTCAGAGTGAGGAACAGCCCTTCCTTCCTCATGCTTATTAAGGATAAACAATATGAATTTGGGCAAGCAGAGTCTTTACCAATCTCACACCTAAATACAAATAAAGAAGACTGGAGAGCTACACAGTTGACCCAGAGGAAAATAAACAGGAGAGTTCCAAAACTGGTTTCTAGTACTTTACTTTATAATATCCATAACAGGAAGACTTGTATCTGTATCATTTAAGATTTCTAGATTGCAGTCCTTCCCAGATCTCGATGGCCGGAGCTTGTCTTGGGTTCTACCTGCCTTTCCTAAACTTCCAGTTATCACTGTCTCTTCCCTCTGTCAGTCTGTCCGTTAAATAGAGCAAAAGGACAGTTATGCCCCAACACGTGAAATGTTATTTCTCTGACCGTTAATTTGACTCAGACTTACACCTTTCCAAAATGTGCCTTAAAATATTCTTCCCTGTCTTTCCTTCCTGTCTCCTGTTTTTCTTTCCAGTGGGGGGRAAAAAATCAGAATCATTTGTAACCACAATGAAGGGGTATTAATCTATCTTAAGAAAAATGAGTATGAGCTCTCCTATGGAAAAATGTGCAATCATATAGAAAAACTTAAAATTATTTTTCCATGCTTAAGTAGTACGTGTGTTCTCTACGTGTTTCTTGCCTTCTGTTGCAGCCTGTGGAGGTACGTTCAACTCTACTGGGGTCATCAGGAGTCCTTCCTACTCGTATTCCGACTACCCCAACAATCTCTACTGTGTGTACAACATCACTGTGAGAGACAACAGAGTGGTTCTGCTCAAGTACGTGGAATGGATTTTTGTTTAWTTTGGTTTTGGTATCRAGGATTGAACCCAGGGGTGCTTAAACACTGAGCCACATCCCCAGCCCATTTTTGTATTTTATTTAGAGACAGAGTCTCTTTGAGTTGCTTAGGGACTCACTAAATTGCCCAGGCTGGCTTTGAACTCGAAGTCCTCCTGGCTCAGTCATCTGAGCTGCTGGSATTACAGGTGTGCACCACCTTCCTGACCAGATTTGCTTCTTTTTTAAGAAAATACCTTTAGCTTTATTCACACATACAAAACAAACAAACACACACACACACACACACACACACACAAGACCACCCCCCTATTCCTTTACTGATAGCACTGATTGACCACAGTGGTCCATAAGGAAATCAAGAAGAAGGAAGAGTGAGGTTCCTATATGATAGCAAAACAGTTGACATCTGTTGGGAATTTGTGATACATGACAAACTTTATTAACACTTTCCTTAATTGTCTTATTTTATTCTTAAAACAGTCAGAAGATAGATGTATCTCACATTTCTCTCACAGTGAGAAACCAGAGGCTCAGAAGGATCACATAGTTTTCCCAAAGTGTTGAAGAGTCACCTTCTGAGTCCATGTCCTGTTTTCCCCGCAAGATCATATCCTTAATGTTTCCCTCTGCAGTCTCTCAAAGATCAATTTTCTAACTGCTAAGAAATTTATTGTTATTCTTGACTCAAAATACCTCCAGACTTGCACTGTAAGAGATGCATATGTCATTCTCCATTATTCCTCTGATGAGAGCAGGCCATGAAGCCCACTGTTCTCTAGAAGGATGAGGTTCAAGACTGCTTCCATCACATATTTCTAGCACTTGTGGTTTACAGTCCCTGGTAGGATTTTCCACCTAAAAGCCTGACAGGCTTGGATGACACCTGCCTGCCTCCTCCCTATTTGTCTGTGATCGCTTTCTGCCCTAGGAAGTGTGGGTGGAGACCTTGGACAGTAAGGCAGGTCTCACCCAGCTCACTGTGGCTTCTGTATGAGTCAGTAAGTGCTCTACAGACTTAACCTTGAAGAAAAGGGCAGATCACACCTGGTACTATTTATAAGGAACTTGTGTCTCAGGGGCCCAAAGTCTTTAAGTCTTAGGGATAAAAAAAAAAAAAATACAAAACCAAACACAGGGCCAGAAGCTAGGAGTCCTGAGTAGGGGTTACATGCCCAGGATCAAAAGCACAAAGGATAGTTCTTCCCACTTCCGCTGTTTCTTACACRTGCAAGATTATTGTCTTCATCAGTTCAGGCTGCTATCCCCAAACACCATAAACTGAGTGCTTAAAACAACACAAATTTTCATACTTTTGGAGACTGGGAAATCCAAGATCAAGGCAGTTTCAGCATTGGGAGAGGGTCACTTTTTGCCTATTAGAAGATTCCTTCCTGCTGTGTCCTTAGTGGTAGAAGAAGTGAGGGTCTCTCTTGGGCTTCTTTTATAAAGGCACCAAATCCCTTTCTTGAAGGCACTGCTCCATGACCTAACCACCTCCCAAATCTCCACTTCCTAATACCATTACTCTGGGGATGAGGATTTCAACATAGGAATTTGAGGGATATAAACCTTCAGACAGTGGTTGATAGATATATCAGCTCATCTAGATACGACACCTATGATATACATATAAATGTACATATATATATATATTTTTTCTAGCTGGATCCTGGGGTTCACTGTAGTCATAGTTCACATCTGCATTTTTGGAAATATATTTATTTATTATTTAAAAAACCTACATTCTGTGAAAGATTTTATTCTGAGTGCCATGCGGATAGACAYATTAGTGAAACATAAATACACCTACCTCGGCTCTAAAAAGATGCTGGCCACATAAGATTTCTTGTCAATTGGTTTTTCCTGATATCTTCTGAGAAAGTGATACAAAATAAAAGCCAAAATAGATTTGAGATCCCTTGGAAACTCAGAATTTATCTTTCTTTGTGGATTCTTATTTTGGAAAATAATTGCGTTGTCTCTGGAGAATAAAAACAAGTCTAGGTGGTTGGAAATGGTCTTTCCATTGTTCTGCCTGGTCTTTTTTGACAAAAACATTAAATATCATATGAAGCAGAAGAAAATCAAGAATTTTTTCATCCTGATCTTTTATCTTCAGTTTGAAACCATTCAACCAACCAACATGTTTTAGGAAAATAAAAAAAAAAAAAACATTGATTTTTTTTTTTTTTTTTTTTACTTAAGGTTCTTAAAAGGAAGTACTTATTCATTAGGTATTTTCAAAAATTATTCCATATTATGGTGTTATTTATTAATGCTGGTAGCAAAAAAAAAATAATAATAATAATAATGGGAAGGCAGAACAACCTACAAAAACAAGGACAGGATACCAAATAATTTAAACAAATTTTAAAAACTAAGCCATCGTAAGCCTACCACAAAATCCTGAAGTAATTCCAGTTGGAAGCCTTGCTTGTTTGGAACTCTGAGAATAGTTACTCAAAATGATTAAGCAAAGGCCTCGGTTAAAACATTGTGAAGGCCTTAAGGAATTGTTAGGACTACATACATAAGGAGAGGTTAGAAGAAGTCACAAACGGGCTGGGGCTGTAGCTCAGTTGATAGAGTGCTTGTCTTGCATGCACAAGGCCCTGGGTTCAATCCCCAGCACCAGAAAAATAAATAAATAAATAAATCAATCAATCAATAAATAAATAAATAAATAACAACCCCAAGGCATACCAGGGAAGCCATCTCGACTCTTTAGGTTTATTTCTCCTTTGTACAAGTGTGGCCAGCATGGCCTAGCAAGGAGGCTCTGCTTACCATGGAAGATTTCATTTCTACATCTGCTTCCATGATCATCACTGGGAAGGCAATGTATCAAAACTAGTAATAGTGTTAAAAAGTTCTTCCCTAAGGTAATAGGTATTACTCCTGTTTACATTTCCATGGTCGAAGCAAGCCCTCTAGACACAGCAGACCTCGGTGTGTATGTCTAAGGGCAGCTGTACCAGGTGTCAGGAAGGCAGAGCAGGACTATCTGGGCAAGTTCCAGTGACAACCACCATGATTCTAAATATGAAATCGTAATTAGGGCAATTAAATGAGACCCCCCCCCAAAAAAAAAATTTAGTTTATTCTTTTCTACCATAAATTTTATATTTTTAAGTCTTTTATGAGAAACAATTATTTCTTATCTGCTTTTTTGAAATCATCATCATAATTTCATTTTATTGAGCATCTACTGTCTATCAGATGCTATAGATTGTTTTTTACATATTGTTGTATTTAACTTTACTGTAAACTCCATTTTAAAAGAGGGAAACAAAGACTAAGAACAAGAATGAAGCTGATTCTAAAACCCACATTTCTTCGATTCTAGAATGTTCACATACTTTCAAGAAGTAAAGAATAGGAAAATAGTACCACTTTATTTTAAAAACTACCCAGAGAAGAGTAAATCCCATGCTCCTAGTGAGACTAAAAACCTGAAGTGTTGCTGGAGTGATAAACATTATTGTTCAACTTATTAAAACATGATCTCATATGGATTTTAATATGTCCTAGGCTATCAACTCTTTGAATGTAAGACTGTATCTTACTCATCTTTTAAGTTCCCAGCTCCTATCACAGTTTTTGGCATATCCTAGTTACTCAAAAACATCTGGTTAAACTTTTTGAAGTAGTGTCTTATTTATAAAATTTCCTACCAAGTGAAGCCCAGGCATTGTGCTATTAGTTTTTGGTGTGTGTGTGTGTGTGTGTGTGTGTGTGTGTGTGTGTGTGTGTGTGTGAAGGACTAAAGATACAATTTAATGGGCATCTGACAGAGAACATGAGCATTAACAAGGTTTGTTGCACAGGTTTGGAGATTTTAATGTGGCTCTGTCCGCCTTCTGCTCTCACGACTACCTGGCGGTGTATGATGGTCCCAACATGAGCGATCCCCTTCTTGGAAAATTCTGCGGTTCCAAGCTCCCCCCAATTGTTAAGAGCAGCAGTAACAGCATGGTCCTGGTATTTAAGACAGATTMTGTTCAAACAGCAAGAGGCTGGAGGGCAATTTTCCGGGCGACATTAGGTAAGGATTTTGGAAGTGTCAATCTTTTTCGTGACTCCTACTGTTCTACTTTAATTATTATTTTTTTTTCCTTTATAACTGCATTTAAGAGTAGAGGACTATCTTGCATACATCTTGGTTTTAAAAATTATGTATGAAGTCTTTGGGTTAAAAAAATTCCAACATAAAAAAGAAAAAAACATAAAAAAATATTTAAAAAGAACAAAAATAAAAAACAAAAACAAAAACAAAACATTAAACCCATTTACCTCTCCCACAGGCAAAGGCAGATCTGCCTACCTAACCAACCTCCAAAGAGACCCAAACTTCATATTATCAACTTCAGAAAGCGTGAAAGTTGAACTTAAAGATAGGCAAGAGCCAGGCCAAGAAGGAGGTCCCCAGTGACCACACCAACTTTACCCCTAAAATGGGGAAGAGTCTTGGAGGATTTTAAGTGTTCACCTCATAGCCAGACCTGATTATCCAAAAAAAAAAAAAAAAAAAAAAAAAAAAAAGGCTGGAGGGCCCTACAACCTGAGAAGGAAGAAGCTTCTCACAGAAATTCTAATGGAAAATAGCTGAGACTTAAACTAACTCTCGTGGAACTAGAGGCAGAGGACAGGGTGAAACTCTGAAGAGATTCTGAGAAGGGAGACCACAGCAGAAGTACAGCATTTGGAACCTGGTGATATGTTACATCAGGATGTGGGAGTTGGAGTCAGATCTTACGGGTGATTTATAGAGTGTTGGTAACGTTGACTAAGTTTAGGGGGCTATGTCATTTATTTTGGTGCATTTGGGATTGAGGGCCTGTCAGATATCTAAATGMAGGGATCAAGGACCAAGTTGATGCTTGAGAAGCAATTTGGATTTCAGAGAGTGGTCTTGAAAATATCAGGAGGTGGCAGGTAAAGCTAGGTAAAGGTAAATTGAAAATAACACCCCAGTTTATTGTCACTGCGGRTGAGACAATTATCTATATAAATTTGGCCTAGAAGTTCAAATCATTTAAAATCAAAGGTAATCAGTTCTCTGTTTATCTATACTAATTACACCTAGGCATAATTTCTGTGTGACTCTGGAAAGTGTTTTGACTCTTCCACTTGATTATTAATGTGATTAGTGTTCTGGAACTTAACAGCTCCCTGGATTTCCCCGTGCTTTTTTGTATGATAATAATCCTGACTCACTTTTCCAAATCAATCTCTCTCTTTCTCTCTCTACTGGGGATTGAACCTAGGGACACTTAACCACTAAGCCACATCCCCAGTCCTTTTTATGTTTTATTTTGAGACAAGGTCTCATAAATTGCTTAGAGCCTTGCTAAATTGCTGAGGCTGATTTTGAACTTTCGATCCTCCCGCCTCAGCCTCCCAAGCCACTRGGATTGTAGGCACATGCCACGGCGCCCAGCACAACTCTTTCTCTTTACCCCAAGATGTGAGTAACCTTCACCTCTCTGATACAAAAACAGAGATTACCTGAAACTTCTTTACATTTGAACAGTTCATTTGTTGTGTGCTTCCTAAAGGAAGGAGTTAGACATTTGTGTTTGAAAAGCATCCCCCTAAAACTRCAGATGACTTTGTATCAGAGAAAATCACTTTGCTGCCTAGCCTCCCTAACTGTGTCGGCAGTAACCAGAGAGCAAGTCTCAGGRAAAGAAGAGTGTTGTCTTCATTGAGTGGTGTAAGAGAAGTGATTAATTTCCTTTGGAGTTATCTGGCGCTGAAGAGCTCACATATTCTTGCCTTGAGCCCAGTCTTTAAAACCAAATGGCGGTGCCCGTTTGCATTTGCTGTGCATCCTGCTTTCAAGTTGTTTCTTTTTTCCCTCATCTGTGCTCACATGGCCATTGAAATACCCACCTGGAAGCTCTGCACACTGCTGTCACAGGCACGAAGTCCCACGTTAGCCAGGGCTCTCAGGCCTCATTAAATGACCATGTCTTTCTGAGCTACAAAGAAGACTTTCTAAACTGAATGATTTTACTGAACTGAAGTAACACAGAAGCAAAAAAAAAAAAAAAAAAGTACACTGTCAGGGACATTGTTCCTGCATGAGTCACAGAACACTTTGAGTAAATTACTGTTTGCCTCTGATCTCAGAGAAAAGGTTGAAGTGGAGAGAGAGCAGAAAGGGGATTTCATTACTTGCTAGCACTGTGCTGCCATTGTGTTTCATGAGAACTTTTACCTCCCTGTCATCTGTGTGAATGCCATCGGCTGCTAGGAGATATTTAAGAAATGATTTTAGCTAATCTTTAAAGATAAATTTTTAACCTAAGTATTATAACTTGGTATTAGGTCCTACAAAGCCTCAAAATCCACATAAGAGGTTTATTATTTTAAAGAACTTTTCATTCTTGTTGGTTGTATGAAGAAATGGGAATCAGCAACAAAAAACAGCTTTAATTCTAGGGTTTATATAATCTTTTAGTTACAGATATGGATTTCAGAAAAGTTAGACGTGGCTAATAGGGTATTAGCCCTCCTCCTTGAACTCATCCGTTTAAAACCACCCCGGCTTTCTTGTAAGGAAAGGGAAAGCAACTTTGTGAAMGAGACAGTGCATTTTCCCAAGGCTCTCAGTTCACCTAGGAAGGAACATCCTCAGTGCATAAATAATGGATGTGGAGAGGAGATCATTGGAGTCTGTAACATTTCCCTTTAGCTATATCTTGACTAAAGCCCTAAGTGGAGACTTGTAGCTTGGCTGTTTCGATTATATACTTGGCAATAATTTATGTACATCTGCCTTAATTTTMCAGAAGTCAGAAAAGAGCCCAGTTTATATAATTGTGTGATTATTGCACAAAGTTCTCCTTGACGTTTGTTATATTTGTGTAGTAATGGGTCAGAGTGAATTGGTGGAAATAGCCCCTCATTGCTAATTGCTACATGTGTGTTGATTAAAATGCCTTGGAATTTCTGTTAGAATGGAATTTTTGTTAGAGCCTTTGTGTTGGATATGAGGTAAGGAGAAAGCAAAGCAAAGAGGGCTGAGGAGCTAACATCTATCTGTAATACAAATTCGCCTTCCCATATTTCCTGTGCATTTCAACACTACATGGATGATTGATCCTGAATGACTGATAACCAGAAAAATGATCATACTGGGCTTCAAGGATCTGTGAAACTTGAAATGACCTATAATTTGAGCATTTTTCTGGACCCCGTGCATAGCTTTCATCAGCTGTTCAGACTCTAGGTTCACAAAGTTTAAAAAGCCATTGGTTCTTTGGGTTTGGCTGAAGTGGGTGGGCTGTGCAGGGCAGAAYTGACACTTACAAACACCCTTTAATCTAGCAACCTCTGCTAGATTAGCTTCAGCTTCTCCTTTACCATCAAAGTCTGCTTCAGTCATGACTCTGCTCTGTGTGTCACAGACAAAGCACTTGGCACTTGTGGGATATGATCGATCACAATCACGTCCATTCTTTCTTACTGGGCTGCTCTCATAACCAAAGCGTTGCTCAGCGGGTCTTTTCATGGCACACTAGGCACATTATACACTGACCTTCTAGATATGATATGAGACTGGGGATTTTAAACTCATGTGTTTACTGGGTAGCACCATTGTCGTTTCATTTTTTTTTTTTTTTCTGAAACAGTACATTCTGTACCACTTCAGAACTCACCTAGGAATTTAGCACAAGTAGGTTCTGAGTCATTTAAGTCAGTGAATTGCCCAGGAGAGTAAGGAGCGCCCCCTGCAGGATAACACATCATAGAAGGACAAGGCCCTGTCCCTGAAGAAGACAGCAATATCAGGGACAAGAGACATCAGTGGTTGGGAACAGGATACAGGGCTCATAGTTCCCTCAGCCACAGCCCAACTGTGTCCTTTTACCATGTTTTAAAGATTTTTCCTGAATGTTAAGGTAACAAGTAAGGCCACTGTCTTGCTTCACCTGGGGCATTTGTCATATGAAGAATGAATCAGGTGGCAGACTCTGAACCTTTGCTATGATAAAGGAAAAAATATCAAAACACATGTCTAACAAGGACACACTGACTCATTGTCCAACAAAAATAGAAATATAGCCTGATGGGAAGAGCTATAGATCAGGCCATGATCCAGTTGATGYGTCATGATACCCCTGGTGAGATGGCATTAGGAAAGTCCTACAACATTTCTGAGCTCAATTTTTATCCACTAAAAAAGATCAATCTGAAATATTACCTCTTTCTATTTTTTTGAGATAGAAAGCTAATTCCTATAAAGCACCTTAGCTGTCAAAAAGGAAGATAACATATTAGAAAGTAATGGTTCTAAATATCTGTAAGACTCCAACCTGCTCTCACCCCACCCACCCCAGCTAGAGAGTGGCTGAAGGGTGGCAATGGAAGAAGTCAACATTCTCAACAGAAGCTCTTCAAACTGAGTGATTTTTTACTCCTTCATACCCACCTTGCACTGACATCTAATTATAAAGTCCTCAAGTACGTTTTACAACTTGAATCTGAAATCAAAAGCTAAATTCTAATTAAATCCTAAGACCTTGCAGAGGCCTAGCACATAATTTTTACTTCAACAGTACTGACTGTATGAATGAATTAAAGAATAAAAGCATAATTTATGCCCGATTCAAAATTATATTTTATTATGAGACATATAACATGTATTATGTATTATATTAGATTCAACTCATTCTCAAAATTCAATGTGGTTGATATAGTTGAGCTCTTGCTCAGGGAGGTAAATGGAATCACTTTGTCCAGTGTTACAAACAGTGGACTCGGCTCAACATTTGGGTCAGGTATGTTTGGTGACCTGATTTTTGAGGTGGGCAGGGGGTACTGGGGATTGAACTCAGGGGCACTCAACCACTGAGCCACATCCCCAGCCCTGTTTTGTACTTTATTTAGAGACAGGGTCTCACTGAGTTGCTTAGCACCTTGCTTTTGCTGAGGCTGGCTTTGAACTCATGATCCTTGTGCTTCAGCCTCCTGAGCCTCTAGGATTACAGGTGTGCACCACTGCACCCGCTAGAGTCTGGACTTTTACTTGTTACC